GGGCCTGCAGGCCAGCATGCAGGACGCGGCGCCCGTGCAGCTGCTGGCCAAGCCCACCGGGCCCTGGCCGTCCGACACCACCAACAACAGGTTTGCCTCGCCGAGCTCCATCCTGGTGATTGCCGCGAACAACGCGGGTGACTTGGTCGATCTGCTAGACCTCCAAAGGTTTTCCGCTGAAACCAGGACACTTTTTTGGACCGCCTTCGAGACGCCTTGGACATCGAACGATCTGGACAAGATAGCAAATGCTGCAGCCGGCATTCATTTAATGCGAATGCTCGTCGTCGGCGACGCCTCTTTCAGTTCAACCGTGTACTCGTCGTCATTCAAGGACAAAACTAACTTTTTGTCACCACGCACTTGGCAGCTAGATAGGGCGCCCTTCTTCGAACCATGCTACTCTCAAGGGAACGCCTCCACGCGAGGATTTGTGATTGAACCTTACGACGCAAACAACTTCTACTCCAACATGTTGATAATGTTTACTAAAATCTTCGTGCAAAAGCACAAGAACGTTTCCCTGGTGCAAACCGCCAATCCTGAAACCCTCCTGGTCAATGCCTGCCCATTTGACGTGATATTCACTGGGCAACCGGTTCACATGTTCAGCGGCTCCAAGTTTGACTTCCCCTCCTGGCGCATGGACAGTATGGTGGCCCTGGTGCCCTCCGGGATGGGCAATGGCTCCTGCCTCGTCGACAGCGTGACCAAGGAATTCTCTGCTCCACTGTGGATAGCCACGGCCTTGTCCTTCCTCGCAGTCACCACCGGGTTGCTGCTGCTGGGCGGGCGCTCCACGGCCTTCCTGGACGCCCTGGCCCCTCTCGTGGCGCAGCCTGGGTCGCTGGTCGGCAGGGACGCGCGCCGCCCGTTGCTGGGCAGCTGGCTGCTCGTCTGCGTCGTCCTGTCGTCCGCATACACCGGCAAACTCCTGACTGAACTGCTCGCCAAGTGCGAGTCCCGTGAAATCCAAACCGTGGACGAACTGCTGGCCACCAACCTCACTCTTTATTTTGAGCCTGGTATTCACATGAACGACAAAAGCCACTTTCCTCCCGCCCTAGCCAAGAGGGCCACTGAAATACGGGGCCCAGCGAGTGCGGTCTTGAACGCTGTTTCCAACCGAAGCGCAGCTGTCTTCATCGCAGGGTCTTATGCCCACTGTTTGAAGATTAGAGCGAAGGCACTGGAAGGCACGCACCGGTTCGTTGCTCCCGGACACTTCTTCACTACTCATTTCTTTACAAAAAAGGGTTCACCGATAGGGATGGCCTTCACGAAAACCTTGAATCAATTGAGAGCCGCTGGTGTCAATCCTTTGATTGCAAACCGATTCCTAAACCGCAGGGACACCCGCCTGTTTTTCATTGACCGCGCCTCAGCACTCCAGGGCTTCTCCAGGGTGGTGCCGCTGGACCTGGCCAGCCTCGAGGTCTGCTTCGTGATCCTGGCCGTCGGCCACCTCGTGGCCGCTGCCGTATTCGTTTGCGAGCTGCTCCTCTCGCGGCTCAAGAATTCAAGAGCGGCGGTGGCCTTTGGAGGAAGCCGGAAGTGAGTAGGCGTGAGTTGCCAAATATCATGTTGACGTCGAGTGAACAAAAGTTGATAAAGTTCGGGACCTTTCTATATCAATGACCGTTTATGACGTTTATTTTACGAGAAACTTTACGGTCAAACTGACATTACTAGGTTACACTACAAACCTCACTGTCAACTAAGTACACACTTAAAAATGCATGCTTGCAAGTACTCGCTTACAAACGCATGCTTGACACATGGAATTATGCGGCGTCAAGCATGCGTTTGTAAGTGTGTACTTGCAAGGATGCATTTGTAAGTGTGTACTTCACTTATACTTTGACATAGTGACAAATGTTTGAAGTTTTGATAAAACGAGATTTTTGGCTACGTTATAGAACTTGACTTACTATCGCCTGGTGATTAGCATGTATCGATATTCGGCGCAGGAAAATACTTCAAATAGACGAAAGTCCAACTGTCCAAATAACGTGAAATAACGGTGAAATAACGTTGAAATAACGCCAAAATAAGCGTGAAATAGCGAGAAATAACGGTGAAATAGCGCGAAATAACGTGAAATAACACGAAATAACGCGAAATAACGCTGAAATACCCTTGAAATAACGTTGGAATAACAATGAAATAACGTGAATTTGAAATAACGGTGTACAAATTTTGACGAAGTTGTTTGCCCCTCGGTATGGTTGGTCTTTCGTCGTTTTTTCAAAGTACGGTTGGACTTTCGTCGTTTTGCCAAAGAACGGTTGGACTTTCTTCCATTTGGCCTCATTTGTGTACGCTGAAAAATGACGAATGTCCACTATCTCGGGAACCAAGCTGCCGAATGCAACGGCTCCTGAACCCAAAGAACACTTATTCCTGCAGGATTCTGTGGTATAAAATTCTACCATCAAATCCAATTACTCTATCTTCCGGCTCAATTTTTAGACTTGTTTTGGCTCTCCTAAAAAATCAGACATTGTGGGCATTCGTCACTATGCCAAAGTACCAGTGACTTGGCCAAGTATGCGTTTGTAAGTGTGTACCTGCAAGCATGCATTTGTGTGTACTTAGTAGACAGCTAGGTTTGCAGTGTCCAGTACCGTAAACCGGGGTAACTTGAGACAATATTTCACGTTTTTTGGACCGTGTGTCCACAAAACTTCTCTCACCAACCCGAATCCCAACTATGTTTAATTTCACATGATTACATTCGGTTTGGACCCCATGAATTTTTTGAGGGTCTTCTAAAATGAGAGTAATGGGCCCCTAAAGTTGTCTCAAGTTACCCCATCATTTGGGGTAACTTGAGACACACCTAGGTTTTACTTTGCTTTTTCACGGAAGTGGGGTTTTTGCCAGTCCATACTGATTTTCTGAGACATTTAACTTATTTTCAATGAAAAATACTACTTGTGGAATATATTAGAAGATTTTTGATCCTTATATTAAGATTTTTTTTATAAAGGTTACATTTGGTAATTTGAGGGATAACGGCACTTCAGAAGCGCAACGATTCTCCCATTTCACATCCAACTCTGTCAACTAAGTACAGCGATTCTCTCATTTCACATCCAACCCTGACACCTGTTAAGATATTTTTCTTTATTTCTGCGCACACAAGTCCATTCCTGCAAAGGTATATAGTCTTAGTCAATTTTTAAAATTCACTCAAAATCCTTTAACTATTTTTACAGTTGTTTTTCTTCAAAAAAATCGACCGTTCTTGGGCTATAAGTTGTCCGATTTCAATGACATTTAGCTGGTTGGAAAGGTAGTTAAATTACCCATCTTTTGAGACTTCAAGATTTATTATGTCTCACCTGGTCCGTGTGTAGTTGAGAAAACACTTCAACTTTAAGCTGCATATCCACTTGGGACCCTCTACACTGTCAAAAAAGTGATTCCCGATCAAATGCGGCTTGGTTTTGATCTGAGAATGGAGAGGTCCGTTACTTTAAAGTAGTTTAGGTGTTAAGAAAAAGTCATGACAAGTCAGATATTTCATGCTCAACTTGTAGTCGAGAACCTCCTCTACACGCTGGTTTCCTCGGAAAGTGCCTTTCATGTAATCGTTTTCGAGATATTTGACTTTGGAAATGGGGTCTTTTAACATGGGCTCTTATGGAGATCGCCGCGGGCCCGACAGTCAAATCACCGTCATTATTATTAAAGTCATGACTTTTCTGCATCCGTGGGTATAAAGATAACTGCCCCTTCATGATATAAGAGAGAAAGGAACGAAAGAAGACGCTAATCGGGGGCTTTTTGGAGCCTTCTCAGATTCGTCCGCATGGCGCGCCCGGCGCTGCGGAAGGAGCCACTGCCGCGAACTAGGCCAGCGTTTGAAGGCGCTACCGTGCGTAAGCAGCTTATCCTGATCTGTTTCGGGAAACATATGTTTGTTGTGTGCTAATCTTTTTATTTTTTATCCTTTTCTGAGAGGGGGGGAAAGCAGGAAAATTTCCGAGTAAAAGAAATCTGGGCGCGGTGGCTGTTTGCCTGGGGAAAGTCCAGATCTGGGAATCCCAGCCCTAAAGAAGTCTTGTGAGACCTTTCTTTCCTATTGTGCTAGTGGAAATATTTGATGCCAGTTGTGGGACAAGACAAATTGACAGAGAAAAGATAATTTATTTGAATTTCATTTTCAGAAAATACAAAGAACAGACAGAAAAAGTTTTTTAAACCCAAGAGAGTAAATTGCTTCTTTACCGCTTATCAGAGTCACCAGCCCTAAAACAATATAAGGTTGACAATTAGAAAAACAAATCACAGCTTGCCAAATTTTCAAGCGTAAAAATATATTGAAGTGCAGAAAATAAAAAGGTAGCAGAGGGCAGAGGCAAAAGCACAGTGCTGTCAAGAATCACATATTACATCTGTAGAATACATTATCACAAAGACATTATAAAATACACAACGAAGTCAGTCTTTCCATTCTCCGAATTATTTCTTAACATTGATGCACCATCAAACTTTCCGAGCAAGAACATTGTCCAAAATATAAATAGCAGTCTTTCTTTACTCTAAAAAAGTAACGTGTAATATCACAAATCAAAACTCATTCTAATTTGTATAAATCAACCATTGATTGATAACTTATACAATTTTAACATACACATAAAAATGAAGTACAGCCATCAATTAAAAATGGGATATTATTAGTTGAAGTAACTCGTCACAATAATAAAATTAGTCACACATCTTTGCCTCATTGAACAAGGAAGTTTTCAATGACATCAATGATTTTCTTGGAAGTGGTAACTCTAGGCTTGCCGTTCAACTGTACTCCAAGACAAACATCTAGTCCTTTCCTTCCATGTAATGCGTATTCTCTATGCATTTCTTCAAGGGTGACACCACCACCAGCCGGTCTACCAACCATAATTTTAGAAACACCATGCTTGCGCAAAGCATCGAATTGGCCTGCATTAACATTCTTCGCCTTCTTTCTGGTTTCCCTCTCCAAGACATCTCTAATTCAATTTTGCTTCTGTCACTTTGAAGTGAGCCAACAACCCATCTAATAACTTGCAATCAATCAGAGCGTCATGGGCACCCCTTATATATGGTTGCCACTCATCAGCAGTCAAATATTTATCTGCCAAATGTTCTTGTTTACTCATTTTACCTTGTTTCAGTAGTGGCATTGTATCTGTCATTCCAAACACCAAGTTCAAAAATTCTTTGGCCAAACCATGCTGCCGCAAGAGTTTTAAAATTCGAGGAAAATCAAACCTGATAATATTGTGACCAACAATGATGATCTGATCTCCACAACTGGATAAGAAGTCGAGAAACTTTCTGCAGGCTTCAGCTACTGGCACTGTCGGAATGCACCGATTCCTTCGAAACAACTGTCCATTTTGAAGTTTGAAACCTGTGGCCTCTGTGGCTTTAGGGTGAAATTTTTTGGTGGGGCAGATAAAGACGGAAAACTCTTCATCGCCACACTTTGCTGCCAACTGAATAACTTCATCTGTGGCAGCAAAGCCACCTGTTTCTATGTCCACGGTGACGAACTTGCAATCAGGTTGGAGTGCTGCTGGCTCTGGCATCCAAGCACCATGTGTCACTGCCTCTGCTGCAGCTGCTGCTCGTTCCATCACATTAGACATCCCGCTGACATATGAGAAGCCTTCATGACTATTTGCTGAGATCTCCTTCCATGTTGATTGGTTTTTGGCGAGCGATAGCGAGCCCATGCCGTGTTTGGGGGTACCAAAAAGTGACTGGTCGTGCGTCTGTCTGTCTGTCTGTCTGTCTGTCTGTCTGTCTGTCTGTCTGGTCAAGTGGACGCGCGCGAAAGACTGAATCTTGAAACTGGCTTTTTGTGGATGGTGGGAGAAGTAGTGGCTCCAACTTGTGGTGGACGAGTAGAGTGGAACTGATAGTACGTGTGACATTGGTAGCAAATCGTACTTTGAAGTTTTTGGGTTGTTTTTTTCCAAAAGCAACAAGTGGGCCGGCTGGACGCCACCTGTAGAGGTTAGGTGTGCCTTCGTGAAAGTGAATGTGAATCTGGTGCCAAACTGAACGTAGTGTCTCGACGTGTGGATAACGAAAGTGAATATGGCTAGCACCTGCCCTATTTGTAAACAAGAGGCTTCTGCTGACGGAGCGAATGTACGCTGTCACGGCTGTGGCAGTGATTTACATCATAAATGTGCTGGCATCACGGAGTCATCATACAAGTCGATGGGCATGAACAGAAAGATGGCCTGGAAATGCAGCGGCTGTAAAGCAGACAACAGGAGTGGTTCAAGTGACAAGAGAAACTTGAGTTTGAGTGCTGGCGAGCAAGACCTGACAGCGGCTACCATACTTGAGCTCAAGAATATCGTCTTGGAAATGAAAAACGATCTGAATGAAAGCATTAAAGGGCAACAATTTGTGAGTCTGGAGTATGAGGACATGAAAAAGCAGATCGTGGAGTTAGTCCAGGAGGTGAAATCACTGAAAAATGAAGTGAGTGATCTGTTGAACAAGTGCGCCGAGAAGGATGAAATAATTTTGAGGCAGGAAGAGAGAATCCAAGATCTAGAAAACCACTCCAGAAACAGAAACATTGTGTTATCAGGTGTGATTGAAAAAAATGGTGAAAAAGTGGAGGACATTGTGTGCAGAGTGTGTGAGCATCTCGATGTGCACATTGAGAAGACTGACATCGAAGCAGCTCACAGAATTCCTACGCAACGCCCTGGGGCCCCAAAAACCAATAGTGGTGGAACTGCGGTCACGCAAGATCAGGGAAGAAATACTGAGAAAAAAGAAGCAAAAGGAAGTGTTCAACGATGTGATCTACTCTGGTGAAGGTGGCAAGGTATTCATCATGGAGCAAGTTTCGCCGAAAATTGGGTATCTAAAGTACAAAGCCAAACAATTAGCAAATAGACATAACTGGAAATTTGTCTGGATCAAAAATGGAAAACTGTTTGCTAGGAAAGGTGAAAACTCTCCAGTTGTGAAGATTGTGACGGAGGAAAACCTCGAAGCAATAAGGTAATTTGTCTCCTTGGTGTTGCACTTGTGTAATACAACTGGAAAAATAAAATGGCTATGAATACGGACTTTGTTGTGGACGATTGGAATATTAATGATGTTTTAGAAGTTTCAACATGTGAAGAATGGATAGGTGAAAAGGAGACTGAGGGTGATTTGTGCATTGTACATTTAAACATAAGAACGATTCATAAGTACTGGGATCAACTATGTATACTACTGGATAAAGTATTGGAAAAGATAGATATCATAGTTCTTAGTGAGACTAGAATAAGAAATAGTTTTGAAAAGTATGTGCTACATCACTTTAGCAGTATAAATGTTATCAGAAGTAATTGTGAAGGTGGTGGTCTATCGGTGTTTGTAAGAGACACTCTCTCTTCTAGACAAATCAGTGTAACCCCGAAAAATTTTGAGGGAATTTGTGTGGAAGTATGTGATGGGAGAGGACGACAAGCAACAATATTGGCTGTGTATAGACCCCCCTATGGTAAGACAGCGGACTTTGTGGATGAAATAGATGATCTACTGCAAGCGGAAAAGTGGAAAAATACTGTAATAATAGGAGACATAAATATTAATATTCTGCAGGAAGGTAAAATCACAAGTGATTATATAGATATGTTATTAAGTAATAAAATCAGGCACTGTATTAACAAATGTACCAGAGAGGAATATGCTGGAAACCATTTAAGCGAAACCTGTATTGATCATATTGCGGTAAGTGTTAACTATAAAAATGTGTATCCTGCAATAATAAAATGTAAAATTAGTGATCACTATATGGTAGGAGCTCTGCTCTCTTTTCAGAATAATAAAAATAAATGTGAGGAAGATGGAAAAAGTGAAAACAAAATGAAGAACATACTTGTAAAAAAGAGGTGGAAGGAAAACTTAAATAGTGTCAAAAATAATATGACGGAAAGTCCAAGTGAAAATTATTTAGAACTTAGAGAGGCATTTTCGTCTGCTACCATAAGGGTTAAAATGAAGGAGAGAAAAGTAAATGGACATGTAAGAAAACCTTGGATAACTGATGAGATTGTTCGCTTAATGCATGAGAGAGATAAAGCCTTCAAAAGATGGAAAGTGTCCTCGAAAGAAAGCTACTTAAAAAGACTGGAGCTGAGACAAGTTTATCAGGGTCTCAGAAATAAAATAATTTACTCTATTAAAAGAAGCAAGGAAAGATATATGGAGGAGCAATTTGAAAAATGTAAAAATGATATTAAGGCTACTTGGAAACTGGTAAACTCGGTATTAAATAACAAAGTGAGTGAAAATATTGACAACATAATTACAAAAAATTTTGCGGGTATCTTAGAAATAGAAACGGTTGCCAATAACTTTGTCAATACTTTCAAAGATCAGGTTGAGTGTATTATGCATGAATGTCCGACACTCTTGCTGAAGAATGCAACTGACAGAATAACCAACTCTTTCTTTTTACCAGAAGCAACAATAGAGGATGTGATAAAAATTATTCTTACTTTAAAAGAAAAATCTCCTGGTGATGATGGAATTAAGGTATCACACCTAAGTGACAATATCGAACTAGTTGCTCCAGTATTACAAAACATAATCAATAATTCAATAAAAAAAGGAATTTTCTGCGATGAAATCAAAATTGCCACAATCAGGCCTATTTATAAAACTGGATCACCCTGTGAATATAGTAATTATAGACCAGTCTCCATTTTATCAACTATAAGCAAGGCAATTGAGCTATATATGTATACACATTTATTCTCATACCTCAAAAAGTACAAAGTGATTGATGAACACCAATATGCGTATCAGAAGGGAAAGAGTACCATTGATCTGTTACAATATTTCTCTGACATAGTAAATGAGTCCTTGGATAAAGGTATGCATGTTGTTGTAATGTTTGTGGATTTGTCTAAGGCTTTTGATTCCATTAGTCATGAAAAATTATTGAAAAGCTTAGAAAATATTGGGGTGAGAGGAGAAGCGTACAAACTGTTTAAAAGTTATCTGGAAAACAGAATGTGTAAGGTAAGTGTGGCAGGAGTTGACAGCTGCTGTGTAAAACTTAAGTATGGTGTACCACAAGGCAGTTTTCTTGGTCCCCTGCTGTACTTGATTTATATAAACGATCTAAAAAGGTGTTTTAAAAAATGTAAGTATTTTGTGTATGCAGATGATACTGTGATAATTTCTGTACACAAAAACTTAGATATAGCTGAGGCAAGACTGCAGGAGGAGTTTACTGAGTACCAAAAATGGTGTCATGATAAGAATCTCATAATGAATGGAACAAAGACTAAAGTAATGCATATATCCACTCCTTATATTGCAAGAAGAGATCTTAACCTAAGATTTCATTCTATTGAGTGTATACACAGTAATATTGCAAATTGCACCTGCAAAATGAATATTGAAATGGTGGAGTCAGTGAAGTATTTAGGGTTGATAGTTGATAAACACCTAAACTGGAAAAGCCATGTTAAAATGCTAAGAGGGAAGTTGAGGTGTTGCCTGTATAAATTATCACAATTAAGTAACTGCTCCCCACATAACATAGTAAACATGGCTTATACAGCCCTCTTTGAATCAGTCATGAGTTATGGGCTTGAAGTGTGGGGATCTGCCTCGGATACAAACTTGCTCCCCATTAAATCATTACAGCAGAGAGCTGTAAAGATTGTGAAGAAAAAGCAAAGAGTTCCATTACCAAATACTATTTTAACATTAGAGAATTTGTACAAATTAAAAGTTTTAAAAAGAAATTATTTTAAGAAAGAGTTTAGAAATATAGTACAACATAGATACTTAACAAGAAATGAGAGTTTCCAATATAAGATAGGTATGAATAAGTATGGTGATAGACTGACAGAGGTGGTCGTGCCAAAAATACTAAATAAGATGCCAATAGATTTAAGGAATATAAATAGTCAAAGTGCCATGAAAACAAAATTAAAACAATATTTTTTAAGTACAAACAATTGAAAAATCTAAATAACAAAAAGAAAGGTGGAGTTTAAATTGTAAAAGATTTTTTTGTTTGTAAAAGATTTTTGTTTGTTTGTTTTTATTGTTTGTTATGACAGAAAGACAGTAAATCCACCCCTGACAAGCAGTCATGCTTAGGGGTTGTCTTTTTCTATTTTTAGGCAGTTTATTACTATGTTAATGTTTCTATCTGTAAGTGCCTTGTTTAAGTTTTTCTTAATAAATACGAATTGAATTGAATTGAATTGAATTGTCTGTAACTCACTCACGTTTCTCAGCAACTACCGCACAAATAGTTTCAAAATTTCGCACCGGAAGGCTCCTAAATCTCCCCCAGGGGGAGTTTATCTTATATTCACGATTACTATTGTTTGAAATATTCAAAACATCTTTTTGAATTAGGTTCTTAGCGTGGTTAGGTTGGCAGTGGTTGGCAGCTCGTAGCAATTTTTCATACTTGCGGCCGCGACTCTCAAATACGGGACCTGGCAAAACATTGGCAAATAAAACAAACTAAAGAGCAGAACGGCTTAGAAGTGAGTACGGTCATAGTTTTTCGATATTTTAGAATGATTGAAACCCCTCCGGAGTGTCAACTCAGTGAAATACGGAAAATGAAAGTGACAATTATTACGCGTTTCGTCCGTCCATCCACCCCCTCCCCTCCCCCGCTACAGGGGAAATGTTTTAGTCAGTGGAGTGTGTTTGATAATTGCAAGAATGATTTGGT